GAACATTCTATTCTCTCTGGAACAATCTGTTTTTCCATCTACCATTTGAGATTGCCCTTTCTATTTCAGTTATGAAAAAAAAAAATTTCCAGATTAATCAAAGAAATACTTTTTAATTTCACCATATATTTCCCATGAGGGGAATTCTTTACCAAGGAATAATGATGAAAGATTCAGGATAATGTAGTGCCTGTAAATGCATTAACTTGGCCTCTATCACGTATTGAGTTCTTGAACAAGGACAACGCTTATGGATAGATGGATGATGTAGCTCATTTTTTCCCCATCTCACTTCATTCCCCCAATGTATTGTGGGATTTCAGGATGATAATCGCTATAATGCAGGACGAGGTGCCCATCTTACTTTGAAACATGCAGAGAAAGCTCGTGCCCTGGTGAACAAAATTCCTGGTAAAAACTCGTTTTGATGACCTGTTGTAATTAGTTTGTGATTCATTTAAATTACAGTTTGGAGACAAGGAATGATGTATGTGTTTGAGTTGAAATCTTGTATGCCTTTCCAATTGTGTATCAAAATACCAGTTGTTTCATGGCACATGACCCACTCACATAGCAATATAGAGGGAATGAATGAGAATTCCTTACATGCAGCTATTAGTATTAATCTACTACCATGAACGAGGAAGGGTATGGCAGTGCAAGAGATACAGTTATGTGTTATGGAAAATTAAAAAATTATACCATTTTTCCTTTTGCTCTATTTTGTAAGTTTCTTTGTTTTGAATTGTATGTGGAGCAGGACTGGTGGAAGCATTGACTTCAAAAACCAAGGCTTGGGAAAGAGAAAGAGGACTTGAATTCTTATATGATGGTGTAAGTAATATCTACGTCAAACCTTGATTTGGTGAAGTTTTATCCAACCATATGTTGGTCGTATCCACATTTCTGTTGATTATCAAAATTGTTTTCCATGATATATGTTGCGTTGTGTAGGGCCGAATTTTATCAATGCTCACAGAGTACAGCACCCTAAGGCAGGAGAAAGAGCAAGAAAAGCAAAGACAGAGAGTATGAACCTTTCTCCTATTCCATGAGTCTTAATTAGATATTATATATATATATATATATATATATATATATATATTTGAAAGCATGCTCCTCTTCAACCAGTTCTTATATTGCTTTTCTATCCTAGGATATGAAAAGATTTCAGGGGCAGGTGCTAGCAGAGCAAGAAGTACTTTATGGCTCAAAGCGTAGTGCATCCAAGAGTGGAAAGAAAGCTTCCAATAGAAAAATTTCCCTTGGTGGGGCCTTAATTCGAAACCAAAATTTTGAAAAAGCTACTCCTCTTGTACACCCTACTAAGAAGGGTAACTGTCTGAATCGAAGTAGCTCTCACCAGCGATACGGTGGAGTGGACGCTCCGTCCTCTGGTATTTTTCAACATTAGCTTCGAACTTTGAGCTGTTGTTTTCTTTCAATTTAAAAGAAGACTTGCACTATTCGTATTATATGAAAATGGGTCTAAAAGTGTGCAATGATTGGAATAGGTGCAACGGGTTTTTGGATAGGTGTTTTAGGCTAAACATACTGATGAAAATATCCTGTTAAGTCATTTTTCACAACTTATTCAACATCATTGTATGCCTCAGTTTATGAGTCGTCATAAATTTAATGCAGGAAGGAGAATCTCAGAGATTTCTGGTCATTCAGTAAAGAAGCATCCATCCAGTGCTGGAAAGGCTCTTGAATTGGACTCGCCATTGATTCGGAAACCCCTCTCTCCTGTCTTATCTGAAGTGTCATCTAAGGTCAACATTGCAAATTTCCAAGAGGGTCAGAAGACACAACAGAAGACAAACATGCAAGCAGCACATCTTTTCAGTGAGATGCCAATCATGACACCTTCCAAGCCAGTATTCGTTGGTGATGAAGAGAATAGAACGCCAAAGACAATGCCAATTCCGGTGCCTCTCACTCCTAAAACGATGTCGGTTCAAATGCTGACAGCCACAACGCCAGCTACACCTTTCACTTCTGGTGCTTACAAGGTTGAGAAATCTGGTCAACCTGTAGAGTACTCATTTGAGGAGGTGAGAGCTGGTTTCATTCATGCTAATTCGTATCGTCACGATGCAAGTTTGACAAACTAGCAATTAGGTATGAACTCAGTAGTAAGTGAATAAACTCTATTGGTCTGCAATATGAAAAGAATTTGACACTATGTTTTGAAGGGTCCTGGAGGCATGTTTCCTTATAGAAAGGTGATGCCTTTGTATTTCATGCCTTAAGATTGTTGAATAGAAAGTAGTTGAATTTCACCACATGCCCTTGTAGCCAAAATGCTCCATTTTTGCTACTTTTATCAGGCAAGAACAAACTGTTGTTATACACTTTGTATGGAAGGTGAGGAGAGAAATGAGAATAATATCAATGTCCAATTCGACTAGGCTCAAAATAATATCCATGTTTCATAGAGAATCAAGTTTAACATGACACCTCGCAATTTGATTAGTTTCAAAAGAAATGATGTCTTGCGACCCTTTCATACATTATCATAGCTTATTACCAAATAAGGGACTCACTTTTTTGAAAAAAATTACCATCACAGAGAATAATACGAAGGACATTTTAAACGGTAGAGGATGGTATGGCAGACACATTTACAAAGACCTCTATTTTCACCTTATCAATTCCATACCATTTTAACCACTGCTTATGAATTTATGAGTTGTATGTTGTTTTGTGTCCTTGGTATTAAATTTCTATATCGTTTTGTACCCGATTTGTTTGGTATTAAGTTTTCATAACCAATGCTTAAGAACGTACGAGTTGTTGGTTTGTTTATGCCCGATTCGTTTTGTATTAAGCTTTCATATTATTTTAACAAACACTTAGGAGTGTACGAGTTTTAGGTTCATTTGGTATCAAGTTTTCATACCATTCTTATGAACATTCGAGTTGTAGGTTCATTTTGTACCCTAGTTGTTTGGTATTAAATTTCCATACCATTCTTATGAACGTATGAGTTGTAGGTTCATTATGTATCCAAGTTGTTTGGTATTAAGTTTCCATACAATTTTAACCAATGTTTAAGAACATATGAGTTGTATGTTGTTTAAGTTTTCATACCATGTTAACCAATGCTTAGGTTATTGGTATTAGGTTTCGATACCATACCACTTTAACCAACGTTTATGAACGTACGAGTTTGCATGTTCATTTTGTACGTGATTCGTTTAGTAGGAAGTTTCTATACCATTTTAACCGACGCTTATAACCATATGACTGCTTATATATATAAAAAAGATTATTAGTATGCCAAATTTTCATACCAAATCATGATAAGAACAGAAGAATTGTTATTTCCACTCATTTATTTTACCAAGTGAAAATTCAATTGGCTTAGAAAAAAGCCCCTGGTTTTATTAACAGCAGTTCACTGGCAGTTCCACTGCTCATATGCTTCCTCGGTCCCTCATATCCACGTGCCATCCAGCGTATCCAATCACATAAATTCTAACCGTCGGATATATCACCCTCACCGGCATGTGACGTAATCACCACCAACTCCACCAGGGTATCCAATCTGCATTTTACATTTTCAGTGACTTTTTCGTAATTTAAACCTGAACCAGGGGCATATTAAACGGTTAAACTTTTTTTCTTGAAGAGAAAAAAAAAAATTCAACCCCTCAAACAATTGCTTAGACCACCTTCCCAGCTTTAAATGGAAAAAATAAATAAAAAAGGCATTTATTTTCTTTCCTCTGATTCCACACCCCTGTGATTATATTTACCATAATAGCCAATTGTCATCCAATTTGTCCCGGACGTGAAAATTTCCTTCACTAAATTTTATTTTATTGGACTTAGCAAAATAGCAACAAATACTCAAATACATAAAAAATATTTTTATCTTGGTATTTTCCTTTTTTCCTTATTTTTGTATTATAAATAGTATTTACACTCACGCTGTCTTTCTCTTGCTTTTCACAATTCGGACAGTTCCCTCAAAACCCCCGCTGCGGTTTTCAAAATTTTTATTTTCTCGTAAGCCAAACAGTAGTTTTCTTTTCTGTTAATCGTATTTGCTTGTGTATTTTTTTTAATTTTTTTTTCTTCAGCATTTTGTTTGTTCATTGAGTGAGTGAAGTGTGCATTTGAGTGATTGCTCAAGGAGAGTAAGAATTGAAGTGTCAGGTGCATTTTTGAATTTTTAATTCAAGATTTTGTGCTGGAAGTTTTGATCTTTTTGTTTGTTTTGTATGTGCTCATCAGTTTTTGAGTTGCATGATTTGATCTTCGCTGTATTTTTTCTCATTTTTTTCAACTAATATTTTATTGGTTTTCTTGATCTCTGAATGTTTGAAGAAAAAAAAAGCTAACTTTTCACCTGAAATCTTGTCTTTTCCAATTTTTATTTAAAGAAAATGAAAACTTTTTTGTTGTGGGTTCAAAGTTTTAGATGTTGGAAAGATTAAAAAAAAGCTTTGTATTTACTATTATTATATATATATATATATGCATTTATATATTTTTATTATAAAATGTAGGGCCTGAAGTCATTTTCTGGTCAATTTTTTTGACGGAATTATAGTGTTTTGACTTGACACAGTTGTTTTATTTTTTACGAAATTTTGAGTGTGGTTTCTGTTTCAGCTGGTTTTTTGATCGCCAAAGCTCGAAGGAGATATTGAGTCATCGTCTTCCCAAATGAACTTTGGGGTTTTGTTTTGAATTGTTCATTCTGTTTGTTTCATTTGTTTTTTTGTTTCTTACTTTTTCATGGCCTCTTTGTGGCAGTTGCAGATAGGTTTTCAGGTTTCGGTTGATTGCTGGTTTAAGCATGGAGGCAGAAGAAGGGATGAGTTCAGGAGTTAGGGTGGGAGGAGTTGAAGCTCCATCGGCTTATCATGGGGCTCCGAATGCCGAAAACCCTACCCGGGTTGCATGGGGCTAGAGTGGTAAGAGCTGAAGCTTCCTCGGCTTATCATGGGGCTCCGAAGAACGAAGACCCGACCCAGGTTGCAGCAATGCCTCCAGCAAAAGTAGCAGAGACGAATGTGGGAGATGATGGGGCTACTGTGAAGAGGAAGCGGGGCAGACCAAGGAAATATGGCCCCGGCGGGACGGTGACAATGGCAATGTCACAAATGCCAGGTTCACCACCTGCTTCAGGTACCGGTGGCAACTTATCTTCGGGTGTGAGGGGAAGAGGGAGGGGGACAGTATTTACTAATTTGCATCTTATAGCATGCTGTTAGGGTTTGAGAATCATGCGCTTTTGTGAGAAAAATAAGATATAATAAATGTGGTACGAGTTCTCGATTGCAAAGTTAGATGGTTTGGATTCACTTTTGATCAGCATTAATAGTTTGTTCTGTTTTCTTATAGTGGAACTGCCTCTCAGACTTAGAAGATTTTGTGTTAATACTCTTGGATTTTTGAACTTGTCCTCAGTTTGTATAGTTCTTTATAGAATTCATCCTATAAAATACTATGTGGAACCTTGTTATAGGATGGATGCTCTTGTTCAAATTTGGAAGTTTATGAATAGAAAAGTGGCCTCAATTAGGTAAAATTGGTCTTCCTGTTCTTTATATAAAGGAGACATACAAGATACTCTAAGACGGTAGAAATTGAATAAAGCATTAGATCTTAAAAAGACGCAATGATTTTCGACAGAGGATGCTCATCCTGATTTAGTCAAGGAGAATATCAGCATTTTAGAGTATAATAGGAGTTGTGAGAAGTTCTGTTTCTTTTTTTGTTTGACCTCCAAATAATTTTGAACAAAATTCAATATTTCATTCAGGGATTATCAAACTCTAGCCCTCTAGTAGATCTTTGTTTAATGCATACAATGGGACTGCCAGATTGCCTTCCTATCAGGGTCAGCCAAACTTTGGTCTATTGTAGGATGTTATTCTTGCTGTATAGGCTACTGCTAGAGGTTTTTCGTGGAGTCTACGTAACAAAGTGTAGTTTTCGGACTTCTAAATTTGTTTCACAGAAAATCTGAGGTGTAGCAGCTAATCATAGCCCAAATCCACTCAGCATGCCTTTCTTCCTTTTGGATTGCTATGATATATAAGCTTTTCCACTTATTTCGACACCTACACACAAAAGACTATTTTCCTTTATTATCTACACCATCATCAAGCCTTCACCTCAGCCCCCTTTACCCATCGTTCATCTCCCACCATAAACCGATCATCATTATCTAGCTTTCCTTTTGTATTGTTTCCCCAAAAAGATCTCAACAAGGATCTTCTTGTCCCAATCCCAACCGTTCCATTTCATCTTCTTCGCGCTCAGTTTTCTCTTAGCCACTTTATTGCTCACTATATACCCCTCACTCGCTACCCAAGGTACCAACAATGCCCCTCATCAACCTAAACCTATAACCTCATCAAGTTTTAGTAATTCATTTTAACCTCTTCCCCCAAATCTAAACCCCTCCCCACCACCCATTCTCCCGTCATTCAGCCAGGGGGTTGAAATTCGTGTAACTGGTTGTGTTTATGTCGTATCATTCTGTATATCTGTCAAATACTAGTCAGCCCTAACATGACCTATTTAATCAATTGTGTCGAATGATGCAATACTAAACCCAATCTGTTTGTTATTTATGTTAGCAGCTCTTGTCATATTCATGTTCATGTCAAGGTATGGTCCAACCCGAACCAGCCAACTTCGTTTTGAGTTTGATTCGTGTAAAAAATTGCCACCCTAGATTCAGCCCCCATGCTAAACTGGCCACCCTAATATATTTTTGTTTCCTTGTGTATAATGTTTTCCTTTTGTGTACGGGTGGTTTCCTTTTGTACTTTTCCCGACAAATTTAAATAGAGACCCTCTTGTTCCAGTCCCAAATGTGCCGTTTCATCATCTTCTTAGTTCTGTCTCACATACTCACAAGATAAAAATTGTTTCTTTTGAATCCAAATTTTTTGGGTTTAAGGGAATTAGACACAGAGTATAAATAATGGGATCATTGAACAGTGAAGAGGAGGTGGAACAGATGGGAGATGAGTCAAATGAGTCCACATCATATGTTCCCCATCTTGAAGGTTTCATTCATGATCACTCCTTTTCTTGTTTTCTTTTGAAATTGTAATTTCAATTGGTCTGTCTAGTTTTGTTTTGTTGCTCATGAAGATTGGGAAAAGACAATTCTTTGCGGAACATTTTCTTGTTTTCTTCTTACGTTGTAATTCCAATTGGTCTGTCCAGTTTTGGTTGGTTGCTCACGAAGTTTGGGAAGACTCAATTCTTAGCTGAAATTTTTGTGCATATTAATTTTTCCATTTTGTCTTGCTTGCATCACCTTGAGTGGCTTCTTTTCAAGATTAAGAGAGTGATTTATCGGTTGCGATTATTTCTAAGAATCTTGTGCCCACTGATCATGAAAAGCAACTCCATCGTATTTTACTGCAAACATTATGGAGATGAATAATTATAAAATTCTCTTTTTAATTCGTATTATGAATTTGGTCTTCTATGATTTTTATTTTGTAGGGGACTGGAGTGTAGTCGTGACTCCATCTACAGATTATACGCCCCATGTCATCACTGCCGAACCTGGTGAGGTAAAATATAGCGTCATTTACTGATTGTAGAGTTTTCTTATTTCTACTTCTGGTTTGATCACTATCTGTCCTTGACATGAATTTGACCCTGGTTGATCCATAAAAATTCACCGAATATAGAAAAGTATCGCAAGGGTTAGCAAGAACTGTGACGGTAAAGTTTCTGCATTATTTAGAAACATTCTATGTGTCTGTGGGTCACCACCATGTGTGTGTTCCCATGCCTTTTGAGTATCGGTTTCCGCATTTTAGTATTACATTTAGTATGATCGATGATATCAGTAATATTTTAATGTATAGACATTAATCTAAAATAATTTGTTGGCCCACAGCCTAACGACTTTAACTTTGGGGAACAATTGTTCCACTTGTTGGGCTCTCTGGAGAGATGTCCACACCTAAAACTTTTAAGAACATTAATAATAAATCACCAAGTTCATCTAGGTCTCAGAGGTTCTATTTGGAAGAAAAGGTCTTTTTAAATTCTTTGCAAGTATTTTTTGTTTCAAATCCTTACTCTAAATTGATGACAAGAAGTTGCTTCTGAAAATTTAAAAAACTGTGTTTGGTCAATATGCAACTCTATTCATACTTATACTTGATATGTTTATTGCTTTCCTAGGTTGTTTTTCTCTATCTCAAACCAAATTAATGTTGTTTACCCCCTTCTTATTTCTTTGTTCTCTTTTGTTTCTTGGGTTTAAGGATCTTACATTCAAGATTATATCAGTAGCTGAACAAGGGCCAAGAGCCATTTGGATTATATCTGCAAATGGAGCAGTTTCCAATGTTAGACTGCGTCGACCTGATACTGATGAGGGCAGTATAACACTTGAGGTCTGCCACTCATTCCATTTCAAGATGTATATTGTGGGGGGTGTGTGTGAGTGTGTATTTTACATCTTTGCTTGAGCATGAAAATCCTATTCATTGGTAAGCACAAATGTATACTCACTAACTGGGTTTGACTGGAAAGCTGATATTCCTATTTTGGTAAAGTATTTTTCTTTTTGGGTAAATGTCAATGGTTGGATTTTGATACAATGGTTAGTCAGTATGAAATTTTGTTTTGATCATGATGGTACTAAAATATGCAGTGGGGAAATTCGTCTTGTTTGTATTGGAGACTTCTGTTTTTCTAAGATCTATTGCTAATTTTCTTGTAGGGTGTATTTGAGATAGCTCATTTATCTGGATCGTTTATGTTCTACGACAATCGAGGAACAATGAGCGGCGGCTTGAGTGTCTCTCTGTCAGGTCCTAATGGTTCTTGTATAGGCGGAGCTGTTTGTGGATCCTTGATTGCTGCCGGTCATGTCCAGGTGAGGCTTTTCTCATATTTGTTTATTTTGTGTGCGCGCATGCCTTTTACACCTCTGCAAGATAGGACCTGTTAGGATGTGAGAAAGATTTTTAAGGTCTTTTAGACAACGCACATAAAAGATAACCAGCATACTGTGTCCAAGTAGATTGTAAAATTAACCGAAGTTTGGCCTGACAAAAATGTAGCTTTCAAGTATCGACATATACCTTTTGCTTTGATAAACCATACCCTGGGGCGTATCTCTTACCTTCCTATCTTTGAGCATGTCAGGTCGTTGTTGGCAGTTTCATACCTGGCAAGCCAGATGTGTTACCAAAGGAGGTGACGAACCAAAACTCGGGTGAGCCACAACCAAACCTTGGATCTTCGCCTCCTGGCCAAAGTGAAAACCGGGCACCTGCTTCCTAGGATGGTTAACTAGTTTGATTTTCCTCCTGTTGCTGTTGTAAGCAAAGGGATTTGTTATAGGAATAATTGGAACCAATATGCCTATTTATGACTGGGTTTGTGATGGTTTTTCTTCAACTTTTATTTAGTCTAGTTTCATTTGCCCTACCTTTTAGTAAATACTGTTTTACAATCTAATTAATATTGCAGTTTCATTTATGGTGTGTTTACTAATCATGAATCGGAATTCTATTCAGGAATTGAATTCCACCTATGGAGGATTTCTGCGTTTACTTCACATCAAAGAATTGAAAAGTAAGTGAGGCTCATACAAAATTAGGAATTGAATGGAGGAATTCAATTATTGTGTGGGAGGTGGTATTTTAATTCCCGGAGAGCTAACTCATTAAGAATTCATCTTTTTACCCATTATATCCTTACACAATTTTTAAAATTTCAAATTTGCCAGCTACTTTAACCCAACAACAGGACATTTTGGTAATTAGTACCACTCCTACCCAATTCGATATGATTTAGTAAACAACTTCAATAGGAATTCGGAATCTAACTTTCCTCAATCCATATGGTTTAGTAAACAACTTTAATAGGAATTTGGAATCTAATTCTCCTCAATCCAACTCCTTCTCAATTCAATTCTTTCTAATCCAATTACGGATTAGTAAACATGCTATTAGTGTTGGTAATTTTTGTTTACTAAAAAGAAAGAACTTAATTGTCTTTCATAGGAAAATGAATTTGAGTAAGAAAAGACTTAAAAATAATCTTAGGGAAGGTGTATTCAATTGAGATTTTAACAGATTGTAATTACATGATTTTCATGTAATGGATTTCAACCAGATTTGTAATTATATGATTTTAATAGATTGCAATTACATGATTTTACTTATGATTTTATTAACTTAGGATTTTACTTATGATTTTAATAGATTACAATTATAAGATTTTACTTTATATTTCTATAGGAGCATTTTGCTCACCACATTAATCAAAGGTGTATGCTCATCACCACCCTTAAAAGGTGTCTGCCTCATCCTTCTCAAAATCTCTTCTTCTGCAACACACTAGTACTAGTAACCAACCATCAACACCAATCAAAAATCAAAGAGGCAAGCTTTGAGCTTTGAAATTGGGAGTAAGACTAAAGAGCAAGAAATTCCATATTTTCCTTTGTTAGATTTTGATTGATTCATAATTGGTGGTTTATTGGATTTGGAAGATTTTAGTTTTGGGTTTAGGGGTAGCCAAATCATATGGAGGAAGATGAGATGGATTAGTTGTTTGAAGGGATGATGTTGTTTACCCCTAACAATACCAATAATAATCACTATGTCGTCTTAAGAAAAGTGGTGGTTGTTTTTATGGGGGGAAAAAATGGTGGTTTACTGTATGAGGAAGAGAGGAGAGTGTAGGAAAGAGAAGAAAGAGGGTTCAGGGGAGGGAGGAGGAAAGAAAGAAAGAAAACAAAAAAAAACAAAAAAAAAAAAAAAAAAGGAAGAGGGAAATGAGGAAAAAGGGGAGTGTGCTGTGATGTGGACCCTTTATTGTTTCTCTTATGATTTTTTTATAGTAAAAAGCATGAAAAAATAGTGGGGAAAAAAAAGTATGAGAGCATATATGAGAATCATGGATAGGAGGGTGTGATTTGGTATGTATATCACACACTCAAAAATCTCACACAATACACCATATAATGAAATTCATTAAAATCACTAAGCTTTTGAATACCATAATACTTTTTTTTAATTTTTAAAAGTCTTAATTGAATACCACCAGACTTGTACTAATTATTTAAAAATCTTAATTGAATACCACCAGACTTGTACTGATTATTTAAAAATCTTAATTAAATACCACCAGACTTTTATGAATGGAAAATGCTAGATTTACCACATTTTTCATACCACAATTGTACCACCTCTCTAATAGAGGTGGGCCCCATTGTATTGGTGGGCTCCACCTCTATTAGAGAGGTGGTACAATTGTGGTATGAAAAATGTGGTAAGCCTAGCATTACTCTGAATGAATTACTTAAAAATCCTAATTGAATGCTACTGTACTTTTAAACTTCAAAATAATCTATTAAAATCACAATTAAATACACCCTCTCTATTTGCTCTAAATCTTGGTGGGACCCGAATAAGATGAGCAACAACTGACCTTCAACTCTGGATATTGTTGTTTTCTAATTAGCATGAAAGAGGACCCACTGTAGAATTTTCGATCATACTTGTTGAAGTGTCAGAAAGATAACCTAGCTATCCAGACCTTCTAGATAGTCTGAGAAACTGTTGGATAGTGATTTCTTATGAAACCTCTGAGTATTTTACGTACTTTGGCCTTGGTTGACCGTAACATCTACATCCAAGCAAGGCATTTATAGTCTTTGTGCAAAGCAAGCTGCTTTCTAAAAGAAAAGAAAAGAAAAAAAAAACAATTAAGTGATAAATAAATAAATCAACAAACATATGGACCTAAAATAGGCTAATTTGAGCAAGGGGTTAGCTTGATATATTCAAAACCGTCTGGCAATATAACATATCATATTATTAAACTATTAGATCTAGACCCGAATGCATATGTTGTATATTCTCCGAGTGGTATTCGTTGTCACGGAGGTTGTGGGTTCAAATCCTATTGTTTTACAAAGTAAAAGAAAATTCTAATGTATTTCTTATAAAGCTGTAAGTGTTTAGCCACAAGGACAGGTTTAATTTTTCATGATTATTGATGCTTCCCAAGCCCCACTTACCTCTCAAATAAGAGGATTAGCTGAGAAGCTGCACCTCCTAAATCATTGGAGTAAATTTTATTTCATGTAATCATAAACAAAGACCTCATCAGTAGTTCATATATATTTTTTTATCAAATAATTAGTCACTTTGTTTGCTCAAAATTCTCACTCACTTAATTTATTTTCCTTACATGCATCATGCATGTCGTGGACCACTATCTTGATCTTACTTCTTGTATAGATTTCCACCAAACACTCAATTAATTGATATTATTCTTTCTGAATATTCTACTACCCTATTTGACATTCTTCATTGTTGCCCAAAAGTAGGGAAGCTGAGAAATTTCTCAGTACTTGTACTAAAGCTTAGCCTTGTTGACCAAGGATAGGTATATAGAATGCCACGTAGACATGTAATCTTCCAGAAGTAGACTTTCTGCAAAGTTTCTCAGAAAACTTCTTCACTATTATTTAATGGTAAAAATTCTTCACTATTATTTAATGGTAAAAATTCTCAAGTGGGCTATAAAAAGAAGCCTCAAAGGTATATTCTTCTACATGAAGGGTATGAAGGCAGTTTCCGTACCAGCACTACGCGTTATTTTTCTCTTTTGTCTAGCAACCCCTCTCATCTTTTTGATTTCCTTCTCATTGTCCCTACCAGATTCTAAGCGTCACAACTTTCTTCTTTCCACCTACGAATTTATCGTGGTGGCAAAGTCGAATCGCGTGGCAGTGTTCTTCATGTTTAATATCATCATTATCACACTTGTGCTAGGGAGTTTCAGGCCATCTAGAGAAAATCTTGAGTGGTATGAAATGGAAAACGATACGAAAAAAGAAGCGTCGAATGACGAAGATTGGTGTTGTGATGATAGTGATTGTGACGAGGGTTATGGATATTATGGCTCTGATGGTTATGATGCGGATGAATATGATGATGGCAGTGAAGATGATATCAACAGTGAAGAGTTTTATGGTGAAGAGATAGATACTGACTTGGAGAGGAGAACTGAGGATTTCATAGCCAAAGTCACAAGGAAATGGAGAGAGGAGTTGCTTAATGAGAAGCTCATGTCCATGACTGCTATAGACTCACAACCATCCAGCTCTAGCTAGCCCTAGCCCTCTAGGGTTCATATTCAAGGCTAGCTCAATGTGAAAACTTCTATCTTATTTTCTCACCAAAATTAAGAAAAAGAAAAAAAAAAGCCTTAATACTTTTTTTTGTTGTAATTTGGCTTTTTCATCTTTAATTTTTCTCCCCCTTCATCAAAACTTTAGTTGTGGGATGATGAAGTTGGGCTTTCATTAGTCTCTTGATAGTTCTGTGTTTGTGTAAGGACACTGTTGGGACTCATTTGGTGATGTGTGAATACATACATACTTGTGTTGTATTATAATGTTGAGGAATGATAATAAAATGATAATAAATTATTAGAATATTATGCCTAATGTTATTACTCTAGTTAAATTCTGTGTCTTCATTTTGGAACATATATAATTCTCATGACAAAATTTTCTATTAATTTGCTTATGGGAAACTTTCCTTATAAGAAAGCTGGAGATGTGAGCTGCTTGGGGAGAAATATTTTTTTATTTTCTAAAAATATAAGAAAGCAGAATATTCAGAATTTCTACTACGTCAGCATATATATCATCAAGGTGACATCAAGGTATACACATTAATTTTTAACTTAAAATACCAACTCCAAAGTCATCAACCAAGGGCATTTAGTGTATATATATGCTGTGGCACTTGATGATTAGTGTTCAGTAGGAAGAGGTATAATGTCACTGGTCTACTAAGGGCATTTAGTGTATATGTATGTGTTGACGTGATTTGTGGATATTGACTTACTTTCCTTACACACCAAGGATTCCTATTATAATTGTAATTGATTTACTTTAATTCCTAATTTCCTACTGTAAATAGATTTAGGAATCTATTATTTACTTGCCCATTCAGGTTTTGTTGTATTATAAATAGGGAGACTTTGGAAAAACACAAAGGAAAGAGAAATTTTGTAAAAGAAGCCAAAATGAACAAAATTGCCCTTATTTATTTTTGGATTTCTTAAGGAATCCTTTACATTTGCATGTCTTTGATTTGAAAGTTAAGAGGTTCTTCTGTCTTTTTTGAAAAAGCATTGGCTTTTTCCAAAAGTGAATTTTTTTTTTGGCCAAAGCCTAAATTTACTTTATATAAATATGACCTCCTACAAGGAGAAGAATACACAGAAAATTCCCACAAACAAATATTCTATCATAGTTCTCATATTTTAGCATGGTATCAGAGCGACGATCTTGGGATTGCTGACTCTAGTTTCTAAACCCTAGCCGCTACCATGGGGGAGGATGACTCTTCTAATCCTCATGGCGGTAGCGCCACTGCTTCCTCCTCTCCTTCTCAACTAACCATAGCCGAGTTGAGTGCCCAGGTGGCTCAACTAATGCAGATGCAAACTCAGACCTCGAACTTGATCCTAACTCAGGATCCTACCAAGACGACCTCGACCTCGACTCAGACGACGACCCCGACCTCGAATCAGACGACGACCTTGAACCCGAATCAGACAACGATTCCGACGACGATTACCTATGAAGCTTCCGCTACACAGATTGGCATAAAGTTGGATGGAACCAACTATGCCCTATGGTCCCAAGTTGTAGAGTTGTATATCTTCGGTAAAGACAAATTGGGATATATTAATGGTGATCTTCCACAACCTCATTTGACCGCTCCAACGTTTCCTCGCTGGCGCACCGAGAACTCTATTGTAAAGGGATATCTCATCAATTCTCTAGAGCAGAGCTTGATTGGCAATTTCATTCGTTTTCCGACGGCAAAAGCAGTGTGGGATGCAATTGCCACAACTTACTATGATGGCACTGACACCTCTCAGGTTTATGATATGAAGCGACGAGTCTCCCGTATGCGACAAGCTGGCGGCTCTATTGAAACCTATTACAATACTCTCCAAAGCTTATGGAGAGAAATTGATTTCCGTCGTCCAAATATGATGGAGTATGAAAATGATATCAAGCGGTATAATGATATTCTACAGGAAGATCGAGTTTACATATTTTTGGATGGCCTTGATGATCGTCTTGATAAGGCCCGAAGTGATGTTCTTCACATGACTCCATTCCCTACTGTGGACCAAGCTTATGCCTATGTTCGCCGTGAAGATGTTCGACAAGCAGTGATGATGGGTTCATCTGCACCCACTGGCGCTGGCTTAGCGGCGAAGAGTGCGCCTCAATCAGGTCCCCCTACTCGTGCCGGACAGCCCCATAATTCCTCTACTCCAGCCCACCTTCAGATCCAATCATATGCTACTGCTGCTGGTGCGCCACTTTCTAAAACTATCCCACCTTCCTGTCCTAAGGCTCCGACTGATGGAAGTGGTTGCACGCACTGTGGCAATCCCAAACATATCCATGACACCTGTTTTAAGCTGAATGGTTATCCTGATTGGTGGGAGGACCTCCGCGCTCGCAAGCTCAGAGAAACTGCTAGTAATTCTGGCCGAGCTGCTCTTGTCTCTACCGAACCCCAATTAGCCTTGTTCCCACAGGTAGACCCTACTGATAGTCATGCGCTTCCGGATGTCTCAGGTAATTGCTGTTATGCATTTCATACTTCTGATATACGAGATACTAATGGTTGGATAATTGATTCTGGCGCCACTGATCATATGACCTTTGATCCGAATGATTTTTTGCACACCACTACACCCTGCCGCACAAGTATTGCCAATGCAAATGGAGTTACCTATCCTGTAACAGGGGCCGGCACTGTCGCCCTTTCACCTTCTCTGTCCCTTTCTAATACTCTCCTTGTTCCATCTTTGTCCAATAAATTACTGTCTGTGAGCCAGGCAATTGAACAACTCAATTGTTGTGCACTAATTTATCCAAATTTTTGTTTGCTACAGGATATTCTCACCAAGGAGATCATTGGGTGTGGTACTAAAAGAAGGGGGTTGTACTATGTGGAGGACTTCAGTATGGGACGTGCCAATAGTGTAAAGCATCCGTCTGATGACAAGCACCGACAGATTTGGCTTTGGCACCGACGTTTGGGGCATCCATCTTTTGGTTATATGAGACACTTATTGCCCGAGTTGTTTTCTGTATTTAAAGACTTAGATTTTAAATGTGACACTTGCATTTTAGCTAAGAGTCACAGAGCATCCTATCCTTTAAGTATGAATAAAAGTAATATTCCTTTTGCTTTAATTCATTCTGATGTTTGGGGACCCTCACCTATTTCTACTCATTCTGATATTCGTTGGTTTGTCACATTCGTAGATGATTGTACACGGATGACATGACTTTATTTGATGAAAAATAAGAATGAAGTGTTTTCCCTGTTTCAATCCTTTCATAAACAGATGGAAACACAGTTCAATGCTCGAATACAGATTCTTCGCTCTGACAACGGTGGAGAATTTGTCAATCATGATTTTCAGACTTATTTCCAGACACATGGCATTATTCATGAGACAACTTGTCCCCAGACACCACAACAAAATGGTGTTGCCGAACGGAAGAATCGTCATCTCCTTGAAACCGCCCGTGCTCTTCTCATTGGTGGCCATGTTCCTCGTCATCACTGGGATGATGCTGTCATCACTGTCTTATCAATCGCATGCCATCTGGGGTCTTGAACTTCAAAACTCCATTACAAGTACTGGCGCAACATGGGCCTTTACCCTCTGTTTTGGTGCTTACCCCTCGCATTTTTGGCTGTGTGGCCTTCGTTCATCTCCACAAAAATCAATGAAGCAAACTTGATCCATGTGCGCTTCGTTGTGTTTTTTTGGGTTATGCCACTCATCAGAAAAGCTACCGATGTTATCACCCTCGTACCCGGCGAACCTATGTCACTTTTCTATGACCCAGCATCCAATTCTACTCTTCAGGGGGAGATACCGAGTGAAGAGCTCAATTGGAGCAGCTTGGAAAACGAAGATATTCATCTATGCACAAAGATTGCTCTTGGCCAAGAAACAATAACAATCGATCGTCCCGAGTCTGGCACGTGCGAATGTCCTCTGCCAAACAACGATCAATCGCCTACCCCTTGCAAAGCTGTTTTTGATTCAAGTCATACTCCTACAGACAACTCAGAACAACAAGATGAAGACCCTCCTCTCACTCAACAGTACCAACGGACCAATCTCATGAGAATATCTTTGAGGTAAATACTTCTACTAGACTTGTGCATTTAGAGGATAAAACTATTAGATATCAATTACCTTTCAGGCAAAATCGTGAGAAGCCACCAAACCGTTATTCACCTGATATTGACAAGGCATCCAAGTATCCAATTGCAAATCATGTATCTACTGAGAAGCTGTCTGAACCACTCAAGGCTTTTGTGTATCAGTTGTCTGCTATCCAGATTCCAACCAAGGTCTCTAAAGTATTGAAAGATCCTAAGTGGGTCCAAGCTATAAAAGAGGAGATGAGAGCTCTTGAGAAAAATCAGACTTGGACATTGTAGACTATACCACGAGGAAAAAAGACTATCGGATGTAGGTGGGTGTTTACTATAAAACACAATGCAGATGGATCTATCAAGCGATACAAGGCAAGACTTGTGGCAAAAGGGTACACACAGACCTATGGTATAGACTATGAAGAAACCTTTGC